AGATCCCCTGGATGAACCCTACATCGGATGCTGGGTCGCTCGCTGGCGGACTTACCTGTGGTTGGTCCCGGAGCAGTGAGGTGACGAGAGGGAGAACACGTGTGTTGTGTGTGTGATGTGGTGTGGGTGACTGTGTGTTGTGCTGTGTGGTGTGTGTGTGTTGTGTGTGTGTGTGTGTGTGTGTGTGTGTGTGTGTGTGTGGTGTGGTGTGTGTGTGTGTGTGTGTGTGTGTGTGTGTGTGTGTGTGTGGTGTGTGTGTGTTGTGTGTGTGTGTGTGCGTGTGGTGTGTGTGTGTGGTGTGTGGCCGCTCTGACGGTGCACTCATCATACTTGTAAATGAAACATGGTTAACTGCTCTTTGGAACTCTTTGTCCACAAGACTAACGGTCCCACACGGAGCTCACGGTCCCACACAAACTAACGAGTTGTCACACGAGCTAGAGTCTCACACGGGTAACGAGTCCACACGAGGCTAACGAGTCCACTCGAGCTTAACGAGTCCACAAGCGTCTAACGGTCCCACACGAGCTACGGTCCCACACATAACGATCTCACTCAGCTATCCGAGTCTCACTCGAGTAACGGTCCCCAACAAACTACACGACGTCTCACTCGAGCTTACGCGTCCCCAGACGCTAACGATCCACGAGTAACGAGTCCCAACACGAGCTAACGAGTCCCACACAACTACGAGTCCCACACAACTAACGAGTCTCCTCGAGCTAACGAGTTCACTCGAGCTACGAGTCCAACACTAACGAGGTCTCACTCGAGCTAACGAGTCCTACACGGGCTAACGAGTTCCTCGGTAACGACTCTCACTCGAGCTAACGAGTCCACACGAAGCTCACGAATCGCCCCCACAACTAACGAGTCTCATCGAAGTAACGAGTCCCACACGAGCTAACGAGTCCCACTCGAGCTAACGAGTTCCACACGGCTACACGAGGTCTCATCGAGCTAACGTAGTTTCCGCACATCGGCTAAGGAGTCTTCATCGGCTATAGGTCCCCACAGCAACAGTCTTTGATCGTAATGAGGCCTTCTCTTTGTTTCAGGCGATAAGTACGATGAGTTGAAGGGAGGACGTTCTACCAGCAAGAGGCACAGAGAAGGTTGCTGGCAGCGCATCGAGGAGGCCATGAGGCTGGCTGCGTCAGAGGTGGAGGGACGACTCCTGGACTGACCTTGACTGACCTGAATGTTCTCTGACTTTGCAGACTGACTCTGATTGATCCTTGCTGACCTGGATGTTCTCTGACTCAGACTGACCTTGTGGATGACGTTTGACTGCCTTCTGGGATAGGCTGTGCGAATAGGAATCCGGAGTTATTTGGTCATATTGACATGGTCGATTATTAATTATTCATTGGACTTTGAAAGCACCCATTTATTTGACTTAAAACAATACAAATATAATATTTGAACGTATCTTTACTGTGATTACGCCTGAAGCGTATAATTCAACTGAAAACCAATACTGATAGGTTTTTTGTAGGGGTGCCCGAGGGAATTCTTTAGGCCGAACCGATATCCGAAATAGGGGAAACGGTTGCCGAAGCCGAAGGTCCTGAAATGATTTGGCAATATATACTATATATATATTATATATATATATATATATACAGTATATATATTGTATACATTTTTTACCAATGTTGTTCAGCTGCCTGATTATGGAAAAAGACATGATTATGGCAAAACTTAACTTAAATAATAATCACTATTATGGGTCCATAAAACATTTATTCAGCACTTTTGAATGCATACAGTACATTAATTCCAAGTCAAGTGCATTTTCTTTTCTCTGTAGGATAACTACAACAAAGTGCATTCAGAACAAAGCCAAGGTGCTTTAAAACTGCATAAACATCTAGGCCAGTAGGCCTACAACAAAGTAGTGTAAATAAAGACTAACAGCCAGGCCTTCAACAACAACAAATGCACCTATAAGTTTGGTAACCTAACGTGTTGTTGTGATGACGTAATCGAAACGCGGCGACAAGCACGGCGCGCGACCATGCTCGCGGCTGGCTCACAGCCAACATGTCTGTCGCTTGGAGATATTTAAAAATATCAGAGAGAGAGGCGCGGATTGCGATTTGTAAAACGTTTTTCAGCTGACATTTCTCGAGGGGGTGTAACTGCAAAGACTTTCACCACTTCGGGATTACTCCACCACTTGAAATCAAAACACCCGGACAAATATGCGGAGTATGATCAACGTATGCCTGTTCCTGAAGTCAAATTCAATACCTTTTAAGACCTTTTTTAAGACCCTTTCCATACATTTTAAGACCTCATCGCAACTTTGAGTTCTAACCGGTTACATTGGCAACACACTTTACCTCACATCTACTATATTGATTGTAAGATAGCAAAACTAAACAGAGTGCAGACAGACTACTGAAGCCTCCTTTCCACATGAACTTCAACCTCTCTGTGAAGGTCAGGTTTTAATGCAGTATGCTGCTTTTTTGCTTCTGTAGACTCTGTGC